CCCGGGGGGGGGGGGGGGTGTACTCATAGTCGTGCATGCCGTAGTCGTTTGACCATTGACCTCGCATCCCTACAAAGCCGGGACGGAGCACGCCGGGTTCTCACCGGACCAGGCTCTCACATCACCAAGCGCGAAGCGCCGTGAGGTATTTGGAGAGTCGCATGAAGGGTGAGCTGCATCCTGCTAAGGGTGTTCGGCATCTTGTGCTTACTTCCTTGCGTACGGATGACAGCTGCGTATGACTTAATTTATTTTCTGGTGATTTCACTTCCAGAGACAGTTGTAAGCACTGTGTAACTGCCTCGAGGAAGCTTGACCATTTTAACACAACGTGGTGCGATCATCCCCCGTTGCGCGGAGTGAGGGTTCTCGACCCCGCACAACATGATCTACTCGACCACCATTATGGTTACCGCCAAAAAAAAAACCAGAGGTAAAAAAAAAAAACGGTAACCTGGTTGCCGAGTTCACGAAGTGAATTGGCTTGTTTTACAACGTCGTTGCCAATCGACGAAAACCCAATCCCGATGGCAAACACCGAGTGGGGGGCTTGTTTTACAACGTCGTTGCCAAGCGACGAAAACCCAAACCCCGATGGCAAACACCGGGGGGCAGGAGGGGGGGAGGGGTGTACTCATAGTCGTGCATGCCGTAGTCGTTAGACCATTGACCTCGCATCCCTACAAAGCCGGGACGGAGCACGCCGGGTTCTCACCGGACCAGGCTCTCACATCACCAAGCGCGAAGCGCCGTGAGGTATTTGGCGAGTCGCATGAAGGGTGAGCTGCATCCTGCTAAGGGTGTTCGGCATCTTGTGCTTACCTTCCTTGCGTACGGATGACAGCTACGTATGACTTAATTTATTTTCTGGTGCTTTCACTTCCAGAGACAGTTGTGAGCACTGTGTAACTGCCTCGAGGAAGCTTGACCATTTTAACACAACGTGGTGCGATCATCCCCCGTTGCGCGGAGTGAGGGTTCTCGACCCCGCACAAACATGATCTACTCGACCACCATTATGGTTACCGCCAAAAACAAAAAAACCGAGGTAAAAAAAAAAAAAAACGGTAACCTGGTTGTCGAGTTCACGAAGTGAATTGGCTTGTTTTACAACGTCGTTGCCAAGCGACGAAAACCCAATCCCGATGGCAAACACCGAGTGGGGGGCTTGTTTTACAACGTCATTGCCAAGCGACGAAAACCCAAACCCCGATGGCAAACACCGAGTGGGGGGCTTGTTTTACAACGTCGTTGCCAAGCGACGAAAACCCAAACCCCGATGGCAAACACCGGCGGGGGCGAGGGGGGAGGGGGGGGGGTGTACTCATAGTCGTGCATGCCGTAGTCGTTAGACCATTGACCTCGCATCCCTACAAAGCCGGGACGGAGCACGCCGGGTTCTCACCGGACCAGGCTCTCACATCACCAAGCGCGAAGCGCCGTGAGGTATTTGGCGAGTCGCATGAAGGGTGAGCTGCATCCTGCTAAGGGTGTTCGGCATCTTGTGCTTACCTTCCTTGCGTACGGATGACAGCTACGTATGACCTAATTTATTTTCTGGTGCTTTCACTTCCAGAGACAGTTGGATGCACTGTATAACTGCCTCGAGGATGCTTGACCATTTTAACACAACGTGGTGCGATCATCCCCCGTTGCGCGGAGTGAGGTTTCTCGACCCCGCACAACATGATCTACTCGACCACCATTATGGTTACCGCCAAAAAAAAAAACGAGGTAAAAAAAAAAAAACGGTAACCTGGTTGCCGAGTTCACGGAGTGAATTGGCTTGTTTTACAACGTCGTTGCCAAGCGACGCAAACCCAATCCCGATGGCAAACACCGAGTGGGGGGCTTGTTTTACAACGTCATTGCCAAGCGACGAAAACCCAAACCCCGATGGCAAACACCGGGGGGGGCGGCTTGTTTTACAACGTCGTTGCCAAACGACGAAAACCCAACCCCGATGGCAAACACCGGGGGGGGGGGGAGAGGGGGGGGGGCAAATCCAAAAAAAAACGCCATCAACCCTGACAACGCTTACCGCAGCGAAGGGGATAGATACATGCACGGGATGAGGAGAGCGGCGCTTCCTACGTAGCAGCTAGGAAGAAAATACGGCTTTCCTCGCGTTGCATTCGCACACCTTGAAGTCGGTAAATCACACCTTGATATCGGTAGAGATTGCCGTGTGGGGATAGTAAAGTGTACTGTACCTTGACCGCCGAAACGCTTGCCGTGACATCAGAAAACGATGGCATAACACAAGCAACTAGTAAAACTATTGCAAGGGACAGTAAGGAAATAGGAAACACGCCCGATCTCCGCCCTTTGCGCGCCAAACGAAAGCGGGCCACACCGCGCGAAGGACTACTTTTTGTTGTGAAACTTAGTCGCTGTTGTTGTCCTGAGAATCAAAACCGTGCTAGGCCCTACACGATACCTGCTCCTCCAAATGCCAGTTGAAGCCAAAACCTCGATTGTCCATATATCTAAAGTTGAAAAGTCTACACCCGCAGGTGGAGGGGGAGGTGGTGCAGCAGCTTGGAGACTGCACCCGAAAACTGGACGCACTGGAAGAGCAAATGCAAGACAAGTCGGCCTCTACCATGGGTAAGTAGATTAGCCAGTAAAGCCGAAAGCTACGTCGTGTTGGGCAATTCTTCCGCTTGAAGCGAAACAGCAGAACAACATAGAGATCAAGGTGAACACGTTCCGGTGGTTTTGAGCTTGTTGAGACCCTGTCTTTGATGTCACCGGACTCGTCATGTCAAGCCATTGGCCGGCTGTCTATAGCATTTGCTTCGGCTCAGCTGTCTACCTTCTCATGAGCAGTTTCTAGCTTTAAATTGAAAAAACAGGTTGGGAATTTGCTGCCCTGTTGCACGTCTCAGCATCAACTTCTGTCCGGGTATCGTGCAAACATCGGCCGTGTGCCTCTCTCCGCTGTGTCGGAAATAAACAGCGCCTGGCCGTCGCAGTGTTCAGCTCCCTTTCTGCCGCCTCTCTCTCTCTCTCTTGGTCTTCGTCTTGAATCGCCATCGTAAAACAAGTCGTGGAATCGATGCAAGAGACCTTGATAGAGCAGGCCAAGGTCCAGGAGGAGAACTTCCAGTCTAGCCAAGACGAGCTCAAAGCGTCCATGGAAAAAAGCTTGGAACGGAGACTCTCCAGGTTCAACCAGGAGGTGGGTGGGTAGCTTAGGTTGAAGTATTGTGTCTGGTGCTCCCTTCGACTTCGGGCACAAGCGCGACTAGACCTTCTCAACGGCTGACAACAGCAAGGAGGCAGAAACAATCACAACAGGACTGGTGGTTGCTTTCGTACGCCATCCTTGCGGTAGGATTCAGGGCCATGCAGTTGGCCACGGTGCGGGCGCTCCAGAACGCGATGTGGTGTGTTTCTGCCAACTGATCGACCCTTCTCACCAGCATGTGCTGCGGTTTGTCATCCTTCATTGGATCGTGTTTACCCGTTCATCTCCACCCTACTATTGTGGCTGCGTGCTTTACTGTTTCTCGTGGTCATTTTCTGCCTGCTTGGTCACCCTAGCTGCTGTTTTTCATCGCTCGTTGGAATTGTGTTCCCACAAGTTCATGTGTCCGTTGGCTCCCTTGCTAAATGTGTGTGTGCGTGTGTATTCTTTTGCGGTTTTATGATGCGTGCTCCTTTCCCAGATGGCCCTCCTGGGTACGCGCGTGGAAGAGGTGGCCACGACCGCAGCGACTTCCTCGGACAAGGTGAACGCCGTCAGTTCTTCCGCCGCGGCCCTCCACAGCCAGCTCGAAGGGATGAAGCAACAGAATGCGACCGATGTCCCGGCGTTGGATAAGAAGGTAGGCTACGACCTGCTGATCGTGCTTGCTCTGTGTTTGACGCGTGGTCTCTTCAGTGCCTAAAGGGTTTGTTTTTTAGCGTGAGGAAGGCGCCCGAGGTAGCTCACGTGTTACAGGGGAAATTGTGTTGTGCCAACTGGAAGGGATGGCACGCCTACCCCACCATACCCCCTGGCCCTAGCCCAGGGTTTTATTGGTGACGCCGCCGATAGGCATGTCTTCCCCACCGATCGAGTGATGACAGCTCTGATGTTCCCGTCAGCCGTGTTCGTAGTACTTGTTAGGCATTTTCGAGGGGGGGGGGGGGGGGTCTCGTTTGAGTTTGACTCGCTCCCTCGGTGGCGTAAACGCTAACAACCCATCACCTACAAACACCAGCTCGCCCCCGTCCCCTTCGCTTTTAGTAAATTATATAGTCAAAATACATGCTTATTTTTCATTGATTCTCTGGGGTGGAGCCAAACGGCTTTCTCCGACGATGATGACGGTGACGTCATCTAGACTGACAGCCAACCCCGGGCAGCAACAGAAGCAGTCGTGTATTTGTCGCAGTTTTCTCTCTGGCTTGGCTTGCCTGTCGCCAGCATGAGCAGCAGTTCGCAATTTTGATTTCCATGCTCTCTTCTTGCCGACGTTGTTTTCGATATTTTGTGTGTGCTTTCTTTTTAGATCAACAAAGAAATAACTGCAGTGCGACAGAGCGCCCGAGAATTGTCCGGGGAGGTAGACAAGCTGCAAACCTTGGTCCAAAAGAACCACACCGAGTTCGACTCCCACGTCATGTCTTCCCGGGCCTTCATCAAGATGGCCGCCGACCAACAGGCAAGCTGTTCCGGATAGTCGTAACCCACACGCCTAGTTGTAAGCCATGTATGCACCCGCGGGTAGTCCTCTTGCGCCTTCTCATCAGCAGCCTTCGGTCTACGCTGCTTCAGAGCAGTGATTCCGAGTCAAAATTCTCGAACTACCTGATTGTAGTCTTTACTTTTGGCCGGGCCCGATGGTGGCAGTCTCAATTCATCGCAGACGGTTTCGCGAAGCGTGTCCCCCAGCTACGCGTGAACGAATGTGTTGCAGCCATGATGTAGTTTAGAACCGTTTGATTGCATCCGAGGCTAACCTTGAATCGTGTGTTCTTTGTCGCAATTGTTGTTGCTGCTGGCGCTTCTGCTGCTGGTATCGTTGGTTGTGGTGCTGACAGGCGAGCTTGGGCAAGACCAGCACAAAACTTGTGAAGGACATCGATCATTTCAAGGCAGAGAATGGGGACAGGTGCGACCACCGTACTGCTACTGCTTGCTTGGCCTTGAAGTCAGAAGACCGACAGAGAAATTCTACCACCATAGCCCCGTTTTTCATCTTCGTGGTGCAGACCATAATCGCATGTATGGCAGGCGATTCCCGTTGCATTTTTCCATACCCTTAAGACATGAGTACATGTCGTGTACCACGGTGTCCGCCGTTCACGGTATCCGACATGGGTACATATCGTTCACCGCGCGGTGCCCGTCGTCCACAGTATTCCACAGATTTTTCTGTGAGGTGTTTCCCGGAAGAACGAAAGTGAACAGTTACCACTGTGCGCGCTCACTCCGAGGGGACTTGTTGCTCGGATTGTGAACATGAGCACTACGGCTTTGATCAGGGCCACATCCAACCGACCACAATGGTATACCTGTCTGTCTCTCCTGCAACACTAACGCACAGGATGACGAGCCTTGAGAGGAGCAATGTGTCCGTTGTCACCACCATGCGGCGATTGCAAAGGTCGCTCGACGCTCTCGCGACAAAGGAAGGGGTGAGAGCACGAGCGAGACATGGAAAAAATCGAAAGATCTCGCCGTTTGGACGGTCGTATGCTTATACAAGTTGTTGGCAGGCGTAACGGATGGACCTATTGATTGGGTTTGTTATTTATCACGACCGAGAATATTTTAATTATGTTTTCGACCCGCACGGCCACATATTTTACCTTCAGCCCGCCGTGTTTCGCGAGCCCTGATCCCTGCCTAAACGGGCATTCGCGGCAAAAGTTCCAACAGCTAATCGCTAGTCTGTACCCCACCAAATTCTTCACCCTCTCTTCTTCTAAACCTCTTTTCGTCATGGTGTTTCATTTTCTCCGTCATACCCCTACTTATTTGGTTCATTCTTCCACTCCGCCCCTGCTCCATCGTTGCGTTCCCTTAGCGGTGGGACCGTTTGGAGGTTCAGACCAAGCGACACGTGCAGGTGTTAGGGGGACACCTCGCAGATCTCGAAGGAGCGGCTACCTGTGCCGAGCCCTTCAGGTGACGCTCAAGAGCTTCCGGTGCTCTTTTGTGTATTCTAGCCTGCAGGGGTTAACGCGAAGAGGGATGTAGCACGTCTCTCTTTTCTTCAGTATTGGGCGACCAGGAAGTGCTTGTTGCTTCGAAACACACCGGAAGTTGAGTGAAATGGCATGCCGCGCGTTGACGCTGGCGTTTCGGGTTTTTGGTGGGCTGAGCAAGTCAGATGAGACGAACGCGTTGTCGCGATGTTGTAGAGAAATGGGATATCAATGCCGGAGACCATCGCGTCGAAGAGAAGGCTGTGAGGCATAAGCGGAAAGAGAGACAAGACCGGTGCTCGCACACCAACACCAACGTTTCCACGCACGTCAAGCAGGGGCAACGTCCTTCGCGGGTATTTGTGTACCTACCTCTGACTACCTCGCACCAACTGGCTGACCAATGAGTCGGTTAGTTGACGTGGTGACAGACGCAAGACCGTCCCCTCTGCGTGTGTGCAGATGGCGGTCAAGGACGGAAGGTTTCACGCATTTTTCCTGCCGGCAAAAGGCTCACCGTACTTCAGAGTGTTGCCGGACAGTTTAGTCGATAACCGCTGTCAATAGGCGGCTGTGAAAATGGAGCCGTGATGCGGATGACAATCCACACCATCGTCTGACGACGCCCTTGCGTCGCAATGAATTTCTGGCAACACGATGCCGTCCTCCCGCCGTGTTTGCCCCTCTCAGTCTCGGTCCGGCGATGCAGAAGCACGTGTCGGCGGTGTCCCAGATGGTGGCCAAGATCGTCGCTACTCGAGCCGACTACGAGGTCACACGGCAGGCAGTGAACAGAAAGAATCCGGGAGAGGACAGCGACTGGGACAGAAAAGTCGAGGAACTGAGGTATGCGTTAATAGAACGCCTGCATGCTGTTGTCCTCTCTCGAGTCTACATTGTAGCATGCGACACGTGAGAGGCTTGGTTTCGCCGAAACCGGGCTTCAAGATGCCCGTGGTTTCATAAAGTTTTGTGGAGGGAGTGGTTCTTCATAAAAGGCGTAGCCAATGGTGACATGCCAACCCCATCGACTCAGTAACTTGTAGAGCCGAGAGAAGATGAAATGATGGTGACTGGGATGTAAGGCAACTTGCCGAGGGAAGACATGGTGAAAGGGGCGGGTTGGCCGCGCTTAGAAAAGCCTTGAGGGAAAAAGCTTCTAGGCGGTTGTGAACCTCGGGGCAGTGAAAAAATATCCACACTACAGCACCTCACCCAAGCCTGCATGCCTGTTGCTCTTGTCTAGATACACTTCGTGGTGCAGAAACTGTTTCTCAATCCTCTTCTGTACCTATCCTTGTCCCTCTGCAACCGCCTATCGCTCGATCTATAATGCGTTTGCTCTCTCTATGTGCTGCAATATTTCGCTATCAATTAATCTCTCCTTCGCTCCCCTCCCCCCTTCTCTCTTTTTCTATACTTTTTGACAAACTCTATCTCTCTGTCTCTCTAGCTGTTGGTAGTCGATCCGGCCGCTCTGATTATCTCTCTATAGCGCGATCTCCGTCCTCAATGACTGGTGCATATCCCAGGATCCGCTTCATGAACAAGTTCGTGTCGGACGTGGTGCAAGTAGCGAGCAAGCTTAGACCCCTTCCGGATAGGCCGGTGGAGGAAGTGAGGGAGACCTTCGCTACCAAGCTCGAGCTCAGCATGAAGCTCGCCATCTCTAAGTACAAGCCGATCCAGGTAACACTCGTCACCTTGATATGTGTGTGTGTGTGTTTTCGTCCTATTCATTATGGCGACAGTTCCCCCATTTTTCGTGGTGAGACGTGTACTACACCCTTCAGTGCATGTAGAGTACTACACTTTTCAGTGTATTTTTTCGTACAACTACAACCATCCAGGGTCACACGGGAGGGGGTAAACACCACGGCCTTTTCTCCTTTTTCTTTATTTTCGTGCCCAACGTTCCTCGTGCGGTGCGTGCTGAATATATTTTTATTGGTGCAGGGTAAAAAGCAAACAGCAACGAGCAAACTAAAAATAACAGGAACCGACACCCGGCGTGTGTAGACAGTCTGGCATCTGGCAAGAAAGGGACCTCGCACACCATTTGACAAATGTGTACCGCTTCCATGGAAGTATAAATCAGCTTCCATGGAAGCTGTCAAAACGAAGCGTGTTACAAGAAACATCGGACTGATGTCCAAAATCTGGCCCCGGTAACTACAAAGAGTAACATTGTCAGCACTGTACAAGTTGCCTAACAGGCAGTACGTCAGGAGACTAACTTTCGGGGAGGCAAGGCACGGGCCATAAGCAATCTTTCGCGTACGGCGATGTTGTGTGGATGGTGGGGGCGTGAGTGAGTACGGTACGCTGCAGGATGTTCTATGTTTCCAACCGTCACCGTAGATGTAGTAGTCTACATACATTGAACGCTACTGCGCACTCCATCAGAAACGAGGTAAAACTAATAGTATCGCCAGGCCGAGATGCAACTAAACAACCGCTCCAACAACCAGGCTTCTCACCTATGAAACCAAATCGGCGAGCAAAATGAAACTAAGGACCGGCCGCCACTCAGCTCTTCGCTCGTCATAGCGTTTCCATGGAGCGACCACATGCATGCATGAAACCGGGGGCGAAAAGACGTTGAGTGACCCGACTTCCCCGCCGCCTTCCCGCCGCCTCTGGCACTGCATCTTGGTTGGCCGTTCGCTCAGGCTGGCGCCACCATCCTGGGCAAGGTGCACCTGCTACCTTCTTGCATGGCCTGCGACAGGCCTTTCATCGTAAGTTGTGGAGTGCGCTTGTTTGTGGGTCCACTTGTATATTCTTCGTCGCCGCGGGTGTTGAGGGCGCTTCTTTTGTTTGTCCGCGGTACACAGCACCCGCTGCATGATGGCGGCGTGTCTGTACGGCTTCGTCTCGATGCGAATGCCTTGTCAATGGCAGAACGACAAGCCACCGGCCTTGCAGAAACGAAAATCCTTCCCCGGCCCCCTTTCTTCACCGCTGGTGCCCCCTCAACATCACGAGCTACTCCATCCCTGCCTCGTTTACCCTCCGCACCCCACCGCTCTCGTGTGTCTCCGGGCTGTTTCGTTCCCCAGGACAATCCAGGGCCCGGCGATCCGAGGTCGGTCGTGCAAGACCATCGGGGAGAGCGAGAACGTTCTAGAGAGCGTGCCTTGGAACGCGGTGGCGGGTCTCCATCGGGGGGGAGCAGGGGTCAATGGTGAGAGAGAGCAACAAACAGAGGCGGCGGGAAGAGTCTGTTCAATAGGCATGCGTCTATGTTGTTTGGGTGAAAAGGCCTTCCAACTTGAAGTTCAGCGGGAGGGGCTGGCATGAAACGGTAAACGGTAGGGAGAACAAGAGACGGAGAAAACAGGAAAAATCGTTACCCTATCGACAACTGATGGAACTACACCGGATACACGTTTGTATGGAGGAAAGTACGGAAAGTGATCACTTGTCTCTTTCGCTCCCGAAGCCTCGAGAGAAAACGTAGAGACAGGACAGTTTTGACAGATACTATAATAAGGCGCGCAAAATGTTAGAGGCCTCACCAAATCCATGACCTACATCAAATAAATTATCCACTCCGAGGAAGAGAAATACCGTAGAGGACTGTGATTGAACAAGTGTAGAAGATTTTTCGCTTCTGCAGCACCGTAGAGGGTGGAGACGTTGTCACGTTTTTCGCGTACAGAGTGTCCTCCCATGAGTTTACAGCGTCACAGATCCTCTTACGAATATTCTGAACATTCTCGCCGTAAAAGCGTTTTTCATTTTTCTTCTCTGGGCTTTCAGGTCCAAAGGAACCGGCGGAGGCGGTTCCCCTGTGCCAGCTTATCCGTCCGCGTCGTCTTTCGCTGTAGATGATGATGGCGGGAGCGTGGCATCAATGACCTCTCTAGCCAGCAAGGATTCGCAGGTTCGCCGGCAGCGGTGCAGCAGCCCCGCTTGTTTATTCGCCAAGGCTTCAGGGTTTGTTATGTTTCCCGTGGCAATGCGTTTCTTCGGCACGAGTGCGCCCTCCAACACTTTTTTTCTTGGTCTTGATCTTGCTGTTCTGTGCCGTTGGTAGTTGTCATGTACTTTGAGGAGTCTCAAAAACTGTTCGGGGGGAACACGACCCCTGCCCTCAGCTCTGCCAGCAGGCCGCATGTTTCCATCCGGGTTTGCGCTGCGAAGGGTCATGGTATTGTTCCGTTCGAGGTTTTGGACACATTGCAAGTTGTTCTTTGCACGTGCGATTGTCGGGCCCAGCATCTGCCCTCGTAGTGTGCTTTCACAAACCTGTGTGAACAAAGCCCGCGGCTGCAAGGTCATTTGCAACGACCCGAACCACTACGCGATTTCCGCATGCCCGCGCTCTACCCGTCGACCAAAGGTATCGGGCAGCTCAGCATCAAGATACCGCTCCAGGCAAGTCTTTTCCTTGAGTGGGTTAGCCACGTGTAGTGTAGGCATCGTTGCGCGCGACTGTGGCAGGTTTGTCATCGGGTAGTTGTCTTAACATTTCTTCCATCGTTTGAGTGCATCATCGCAGGTGCTACGGCTGTGACACGGCCACTATTTAGCTTCCTGCAAAAGCGCTAGCCCGATCTCAAGCATCCGCCTCACCGACGCGGGCTTCTCAATTGAACGCGGTCCACACGCGCCCGGAAAATATTTTTATTTCTGTCGCATGTCCTCGAAACTTGGACCAGAAGATAGTGCCGTTGGGGAAGAATGACGGAGATCGACGAGACAGCAGTATTGCGAATAATGGTGTTCATATAGTATCTTCAATATCTGTGCGGTTGACGCCTAACCGGCCGAGAAATCCCGGATGAAGCAGTATCAAACCCTGATGCCACAACAAAACTCAACTATCCGATGCCCCAGAACAGACCGAAGTGATGTGAAACAGTGAGTTCCGCTGCTGCGAACGAGGATGCCGTTGGGCCCACGCTCATGCAGCGGCAGCACTCTTCGATGTTGCCCATACCTCCGTACACCTGGCCCACAACGTACGGCACTAGGAAGACCAATAAGGCGGCGCTCGCCTGTACTTGTGGTGATACTGTATGTCCATATGCATTCCATGAACAGAGTACAGATACTTCACAAGGCGACCGTCGCTCATTAGTGGCACGACAATAGCGAGCACAACTGCCTGAGCGCAAAACAAGTATCGACCATCGCTCCTGCTCTAGCTTGCCCGGCCCCGCCTAAGCTCCAACTGCAGCCCCAGGCTAGCCGCTTACAGACCATCACCCAACAACCCAACTGAGCCGTAGCCCATTCTTCCTCACGGATGACACTATTTCGATTACGGCAACGACAAGGACAACGATAACGATAACGATAACGATAACCAACAGGAACGGCGGGGGCAGAGATCGCTCCCCTCACAAGTACGTCATGCGATCCGGCTTCAAGATGCGCCAGTCCGCTAGCGAGGGGGGAGGCTTGGTGGCACACCCGAGAGCGGCCGGGGGAGGGGAAGAAAGCCTCGAGGACATCTTGGGCGGGGGCAAGCGCTTGGTCTTCGGCAACGCCCATTCTTCCTCCGTGAACCTCCCTCGCTTCCTCACCTGCGGGGGGAGCAGGTGGACTCTGTTGCCGCGTGGTGGGTCTTGCGGTGCTACCCAAGCATGGCAAAGCCTACCGCTAGCCCTTGAAAGCTGCTCGTCGCACCGGGAGGTCGGGTTTCTCTCGCCAATTTGTAGCCCGCACTTTGCTCGGGGCGAGCGATCTATTAGTAAGACACTTACCCCCGACGCCACACCGTCTTGTACCTCCATACTCTGGGGAACGCTGGGGCAGGGGGGGGGGGGGGGGGGGGCGTACTCATTGTTTGAATGGCCTTAGTTCTTAGATAGACCTTGACCGACGGAGGGGGGTTGTTGTGCCCCAACGAGGGTTTTCATGGCGAGGGGATCTGCGGTTTTGGCGAGGATTCGTCACGCACGAGTTTGATCTCTAAACGTGAAAGACTCGGGTAGTGTTCCGTTCTTTCCGGTGCTGTCGTTCGAATGTGCTGATGCTGCCATTCCCCAAAACAACGGCTGCCCCCCCCCTCGCCCTGTGGCCTCATCCCTTCGTCGCTCTGACCTCACGCCGTCGACTACGTCAAATCCTGGCGGCAAGGTTTAGAGGACATCATCGAGGCGGAAGGGGACCGCGGAGGGGGAAGGAGCAACGGCGGCAGGCGGAGTGCGGACGGCGTCCCCCGGGACCAGATCAACGGAGCGGTTTTAGACCTGAGGCCTTCTACCGTGGCTTCTCAGGTACGGATGTTACATGAGACACAGGATCGTGTTCGCTACCACAGGAATTGATTGATTTTCTCTAACTTAGATGCTACACAGAGCAGCAACCGCAGCGTAAGACACCCTTCATCGCCACTTGTGGTCCAAGTTGCGGCCGTTGTGCCCAAAGCGTGTCTCCTTGTTCCGTCCCTTGGGGATAGCGAAAAAGGGGCTTGCACACCTTCGTCGCGTCACCACCCTGTCGAAACCTGTACGGTGCTTGTACAGGTGATCTTTTGTTAATATTCTGCTACGTTGTATTCGCACATCGATACTTTTGCAGGCGGAGGTCAACGAAGCGCTCATCTGAGCACACGACCACTCGCATTCCGTTTGCGGTGTAGATAAAACACGCGTACTGCTTCGTTTTATTTTTCGTTCTCTAGGCCGTTGTTCACCGACGAGAAAACGCCGGAGGACATATCACCTTCAGAGATCAAGAAGGAGTCAAGGGATGGGCAGGGGATGGCACCAACGACAACAGGCGCGATGGGGGGCGCAGAGGCGTAGTGGGAGACGGGGAAGGGTTCCACGAATCCCCGGGTAGCAGCAGCGTCGACGCCGCCTCGAGAAAGGCAACTCCCTCGGTGCACCTACCGAACCTGCAGTAGTAGGCGTGGCGGCGGCTGCTTGGAACTGGATTTTTGGTTCAGATCAAGCGCGATGCGTGACGTGGAGTGTTACCCTTCTGTACCGGAGGAACAGATAGCCAATAATGTGTGTGTTGTGTAGGAGAGCTAGGAAGAGACTTTGCGTGTGCCGTCTTGGGTTTCGACACCTCGTGCTACAGCACGAGCAACAAGAAGAGTTCAGTGTGTGTTGTCCGCGGCGAACAATCGATGCTCCGCTGCGATCGAACAGGGTCGTGTGGCGATCGGGACGAGCCGCTTTCGAGCACCCCGTCGATTTGGTGTTGCCCTCGGCCTGTGAGTGTGGTACTGGGGAACCGGCTTTGTACGATTATAATCCTAGCCCTTTTTTACGTGAGTAAGGACACTTGTAGATATTTCCCTGTGTGCGCCTGAGCGATTCCGTGGTGAAAGAAGGGAGTGACGCTTGTCTCGATAGGAGGGAGCGAAAGAAGGAACGTTTGCGCGCCGCGTAGGGAAGGGGTTCGTTGCGATCTTCACCTGTATATAGGGGAGGCAAGGCGGTACGGTCGGTTTGATGCTGCGAGCGACCGCAGTAGACAGGGTGAAGCGGTCCTGATGTCGGATGCACGGAACTTTTTCGTGTTAATATCGTCATTTTGTGCGAAAACCTTTCCCAGGTGGCCTATCGTTTGCCGATTCCAGAAGCGAGTTCCAGTCATCTTCTCTGCTAACCCAATAAAATTGCTCGGAACCAAGAAAAATCCACCGCCCGTTCCGGGGGCGTGTACAGCCGCAGGGGCGGCTGTTTCTCTGCGATGCGTTGGCCCCGTTAAGCATCACCACGCGGCAGTGGTTGTATCATAACGGTCGAAGTGAAACCTTCGCGGGAACAAACTCGATTCGCACGGCCTTCCTGTATGGGTGTCAGACGAGAGAGCTCTCCCGTATTCGCATCGGAGAGGTTGTATCACTCCGTTAGTTTTGGGCCACCCGATAGTTTTAGCTCATCATGTCTCATGTCGTGATCACAGCAGTTTAACAAGTCTCGGATGGTCATCATTTTCAGCTATGTAGACCAACCTTAGACGAAAACCTTTCGGTACTGTGTAGGAAAATTGGATTCAATCCAGTGCACAAGGATTCAACGTAATCGCTCTTTCTCAGTCCAAAGCGAGTGCTCGGCCGTACAGTTCCGGCAAAGGTCAACTACGCGAGGGAGAAGAAGCGGATGTGTCGATCGCGTGAATTTCGGTCGAACAGTTGGCCGTTCTTGTATCGAGCTAGTCCGCAGAAAGAAATAGCCGAGATAGCTTCCTTGGCCAAGAGAGACTTCTCGAAGGTGCGATCACCCGGAAGTGTGGATGGAGGTAAGGGTGAGAGACGTTAGTCTACCTTTCACTTCAACCTGCCTCGAAGGCCTATTTGCACAGAGGGTTCGATATGCCGCCCAGCACGTGCGGGTCCATCGCCTGCAGGAAGAACAAATCATTCTACTGTCTACGCTACATGCCCGAACGAAAAATTGAGATCGTTTGTTTATCTATCTAAACGCTCAAGACGTTGGGGAACAAAAAGAAATGGCTACGACATATTTACACCAGAGGAGAGGCATTGCACAAACAACTTTTGTGGGAGATGAAATAGTGGCACACGACCCGACGTATGGCATATTCATACAGAGTAATGGGCTTCGGCTCGCACTTTCCGCCTTTCGCAACCCGCTAGTCAGGTGATATCAAGAAGAACAGTGAAAAACTGCCTCTGTGGTGAGTTATTCGATGCGCTGCAGTATCAGTAAGAAGAAAACCTAACTTATTGTGGTTTGTGTAATACCTCCATGCCGTACTCTCCTGCCTATTCATTACTACAAACGACACACTGCTGGCATCGGACTTGCAGCCGGGGGACCGTCCCGTCACCACGCTAAGGAAGATGTCATTCTGAGGAATGGGAGGGAAAATCCGTATTGGCGAAAAGAAACAAGCGCCTGCGCCTTCCGTATAAATAAAACGTGAAACCTCAACCCGAGCGAAGCTACTTGTGGACAGCCACCCGCCGTAAAGGCGGAGGGGATGCGAATGGCGTCGACCGCGATGGTGAAACCGACGCTCCAGACACAGGGAACGACCACGCGCTCCGTCTTCGGTCCACGCCCGCGTCAGCGTCGCAGGCGGTCACCGATCGCCAGTCACGCCAGCCACCACCGCCGGGATGACCTCGACTAGGGTCTGGACGATGGTGGCCCTGCCGCAGCAGTGGGCCGGCCGGTTCGGCGGGCCAGCGGTTGGTAATGGTGGGGGAGGGACGGGCAGGAGGGAAAGCGGGAGGGTAAGGGGTCGGTTCACAGCCCAACCACCGTTGGATGATAGGCGACCCCGAAAGTAGTTTCTCGTCCGTGGAACAAAGTTACAATGTGGGGCACCTCGGGTCGACGCATTGAAGAACACTGTACTTTGCTTCATGTACTGTTGTAGGTATGGCGAGCGACTTGAAACTGGAGATTGTTCACGTGTGTGGTTTTGTAAAACTGGTGTGAACTAGAAATCGCTTGGAACCAGCTTGGGTCGCTATTGCTCACTGACATTTCTGTGGGCTTGCTTCCAAACTGGGCAAACGACAGCAGAGAGTATCCCATCGCCAGGCGTGATTTCACGCGGAGGTTCGTCCCACCAGTGTACGCATCGCCCGGAGGTAAGCCGTACAGCTTTGGTCACTCCCCAATACCCAAAAGAAAAAGACCTCCCACAATGGTGAAACCTCGTACAACGCCCTGTGACAATGACATTATCTTTCCGATGGTAACTTCTATATCGGAGCTGGCCCCCATCCCGCCGAGGATTCCTTGGGCTCGCGACCTGAGACACCCAACCGCCCGGACACTAAACTTCCATGCGAGAAAGAGTTTGGCGACCTCCACGGAACTTACCGTGCCGCCCCGTTCACCATCGTCGATGCTGCCCGCGGCCTTCCACCACTCTCTGGCCCTCCTCCTCAGCCTGGCTTTCTGCTTGTCTCTCCTTACACCGATCTCGTCTTCGTCCAGTGTCGCCACCCCCCCGACGCTTGCACACCGGATCGGACTCACGGTCAGCTGGAGGGGGGGGAACTGTGGGTCGAATACAAACAATTACCGGATGGCAGGGGATAGTTTTAGTATTAAGAAGATGGACGGTCACGTCGGGAGGGGGCGAGAGGAGGGGAGGTCTCAAGGGCTGTGTGATGATTCATCCTTGGCTGCGCGGGTCATCACGCGTCATCCCCTTGCACATGTTGTCGTAATATAAGTTCTAGAATGATTTGAGCTAAGTAGGCTGTGAGATTAGATGAGAGGAAGACACGGAACTGTGACAGAGGCGTGATACTATTGAACCCCCGGTGCGTTGTGTTTGTTCAGTTCAGGATGAATGCAGGCTCTCTTCTGCCACCAGCTGGAGGCCCTCACACACGGTTTTCTATTACTTCCGCGTTGATTCGTCCGAATCAACGCGGCACTACGTCTGCGCAACGAGAAACAGCGCAGTGGTTCACGGCCGAGTTAAGCCGTCCGTGATATTTCAACAAAACCGATCTTGGCCTTGTCGCCCGCGAGCAGCTTGCTTGAGCCCATGCACTCTCAGAAACAACTGCGACTTTTCGCTTCGTGTTTAACAGAACAGCACGGTGGACAGCCGGACATAAATCACTTGTGCGATAACACGAACTTCTTTGGGGGCGGAAATGTACCTTCGCTCCAGTCTGTAGACGGCGTCTTGGAGGCGTGGTCGGCCACACAGCTATGCTGTCTTCATCAAAACTCAGGGATGGAGCCGAAGCCGCTCCCTGCTGGCGTGCTGATAACCCGTGGACACTCTCTCCTCTGGTTTCTAGGCGTCCCCCGGGCATCCCATCTTCAAGAATAGCGAACACCGTTTCTAGCCTGCCAGTACTCCTTGTCGCACTGAATTCGGGGTCGAAGGGGGAATGGGGGTGAACGAAGAGGGCGATGATACATGAGAGCGTAAATGCCCATTCTGTTGTTGTTGTGGACGTGAAAAGTAGCCGAATCTGAATATTTTCACTCGTCTGTTGCGCGGTTGTGTCAGCATGCACATCGCAAGCTACATACCGCCGAGCACAGAGTAAAGCTTGCGCCACCATCAAAGCGCCACCATCAAAGCTAACGCCCCGGGGGCTCCTTCGCTCTGATAATTTCATCGTCGCCCCGCGGCGTGTTTTCGGAATTGTCATGATGAGCGCCCAGGGGGACGTGTACTCCATGGCTTGCCGTGGACTCCACGAGCGTTTGTAGGCGGCATTGCCGAAGCGGCTTTTGTGTCCCTCTTATTTTCTTTTGCGCGAGCCTACGTCCAACGCACATGTCTTGCTGGTCGCAACCAGTCTCGCTTGCTTGCTTACATGCACTTGGGAGTGTCAGTGTTGCTGGTGGTTGGCAACATGACGGTTTCGATACTCTCTGCGTGAAGAAAACATACGGCGAGAGAGAGGGAGTGATGCGTTGTGCGCCGCGCCTCGATTTAGATATTATTCTGGAAAACGCTCGGAGAGAGCGCCTTTTGCGACGTTTTTTCTTCAAATTTCGCCCCGGGTACGTTGCAAACGACCAGCGGCCCGTTTCTTGGTCGGAATCTTCTCGATGAACGCCCCGGGGTGCGCTTACTCCGCGCTTCTGAAAGGTTAGCTATGATAAGCCAGAGACATGCTCAAAAGGTTCGTGTGCCATGATTTCGCCTCTGCTGTTGCACCAATCCCAGGAACCCAGCTCTGTCCGCTCACCGCGACGGGGGAACGCAAAAGTTGAGTCCTCTTCTTGCCTCTGCTAGGCCGCTCGGAAGCGATCGTCTGAGGTGCGCGGGCATGCTGTCGACGGCCTCCTCTCTCTTGTGCCTGAGCACAACGACCGAAAACATTTCGCCGAGCAGCGGGGGGGGGGGTGTACTCATAGTTGTGCATGCCGTAGTCGTTAAACCATTGACCTCGCATCCCTACAAAGCCGGGACGGAGCACGCCGGGTTCTCACCGGACCAGGCTCTCACATCACCAAGCGCGAAGCGCCGTGAGGTATTTGGCGAGTCGCATGAAGGGTGCGCTGCATCCTGCTAAGAGTGTTCGGCATCTTGTGCTTACTTCCTTGCGTACGGATGACAGCTGCGTATGACGTATGACTTAATTTACTTTCTGGTGCTTTCACTTCCAGAGACAGTTGTAAGCACTGTGTAACTGCCTCGAGGATGCTTGACCATTTTAACACAACGTGGTGCGATCATCCCCCGTTGCGCGGAGTGAGGGTTCTCCACCCCGCACAACATGATCTACTCGACCACCATTATGGTTATCGCCAAAAAAAAAAACGAGGTAAAAAAAAAAACGGTAACCTGGTTGCCGAGTTCACGAAGCTTCGTGAATTGGCTTGTTTTACAACCTCGTTACCAAGCGACGAAAACCCAATCCCGATGGCAAAACACCGGGGGGGGGCGGCTTGTTTTACAACGTCGTTGCCAAGCGACGAAAACCCAACCCCGATGGCAAAACACCGGGGGGGGGGGGGGGAAAACCGGGGGGGGGGGGAGTCAGCTGTTAGTCGACAAAGGTAAGCCTCGGACGCTGAGTGCGTATGTAGAGCACGGGGACCATTGACGTGTGGAGCAATACGGCAATCGACCGTGGAAACCTTGTCGTGTGGCTTCGGCCAAGGATCAACGCCGGAACACAAACTCATTTTCTCAGGGTTACACTTGTTCCCTACACTATGAATATCAATCTGGGATTTGGCGTCGTTGCGTTTCACGAAAGAAGTTCGATCCCTTACCGAGCTTGTGCCACGGTTTGGCTGTTCCATCTCCCATATGAAACTGGCTAGACTTTTGTTTCGGGTCATACCTGGCCTTGTCTGCCGACAGGTGGTGCAGGACCTCTTCCAGAGCCGCGTAGTGGGTCTTCATCGAAACCAGCCTATCCTAACCTCGTGTAGTTTATTAGGAGGTCATTTTGTTGAGGCACTGTTGGATGTCGGCGGGAAACCTTGATGTAGATGACATCGCCGCAAGCGCACCCGCGCGCAAGATGAAGGTGCATCCAGCGAGTACCATCCGACAACGCAGGCGGAGGTTCAACGAGCTCGACGACCAGAAGCATCGCAAAGTTGTCGAAGGAAAGGCCCGACATCACGCTTTAACCCTGCAGCGTCGGAGCTGTTCAAGCTCGTGTGAGTGTGAGGACAACGGCGACAGCTACAAGCACAAGCAACACGCCCGGGCTTGGGTTTTCGTCGCCGAGAGCGACCAATCGAGGCATGGATGATTTTTTCCATTTCTAGCGCAACAAAATGTCCTACCTCTGTTCGCGGGGTAGTTTTAACCCCTGGCGTGCACTCTAGGCGTAACTAGGCAGGTATTTTCCCTCACCAAACGTCTCGAGATCCTTGTTCTAAGCTCTTACCCGCAGTGCCTGCAGAGATGACTCCCCCGATTGTATCATGCTTTCGACCTCTTCTAACTGCGTGTAAGGAAGGTGGACGCGCGCGAAGTGAAGCGGTTTGGGATCAATCCGTTTTTCACGCGTTGATACATGAATCGTCGCCCATTCCGACCACCTCCGGCGAGTTGCGAAACGTACTTCCGGTTCTAGCATACTCCGGTTCTAGCACACTTCTCGGGGCCACGAAAACTAGAACCAGAATATTGGTCCGCGTAGAGAATAGCAGGAAAATTATTACTACGGCAATTCCTGTAGGACCTGAAATACGATTGGATATTCTTTTGATTTGGTGAGTGGCACGAACAAAGGAGCACCAACCTAAATAGCACGGTCGCCGGTTGCGAAAGGCATGTGACCGGAGCATCCTCACGTGGATGTAGAGCTAGACCTTGGCTGGTCTCTACAGGTACCTGCCGCAACACGGAAGGTTGTGAAGGATCGACACCGGAGACAACGCGCTAATAGTGGTGTGGATGGAAACTGTACACTGGTGGTGGCGTAACCCGAAAACGCTAGGAATACAAACTAAGCCAAGAAGCTGCAGTAAGCAGGAAAACCCTGTAGCACTACAAACATGTGCTACGTTCAATTTTTAGTGGGCTCAACATCGTGTTTCCCGGGACTTGACCAGTCGATGTACTTCGTGTTTTTGTCGTCCTGCTTGGCGCATGGGACACCACCTGACCTCTTCCGTCTTGTCGTCCCGTGACGCTTCGGAAGCAGTCGATCTAGCACTGGCCGCTGCCTGTCTTCTCCTGGCCCTGATCGACGCCTCTTGCAACGCGGCCCTGCCGCAATATGGATGTTGTGACGAGCGCAGTGTTTGGCGAACAAGCTACGGTCGTGCTGCGGGGACTGCGGCTACCTTGTCCGTCCTGTTACGCAGAACGGACCCCCCCGCGCAAGGAACCCAATTGCGATTAAACCTGTCCTGGTGTATTAATGTTGTTGAACTAAGCTGCAGTAGTCTACTAAGCCAACTGTTGCACGAAGAAGGGAAGGGGTGTTGCTCTCACAGTGTCTTCGCGAGCGGCTTGCTTGTGGGACAAGAAGGATATCTACGGCTTGGCGTTGCCTGAGGTAGATTCCGGAGTTTAGACTCTTGGTTGGGGTGAAAATCTGAAGGGCGAACTTTCTGTACCACGTGGCAGGTAGAACGAGCGTACAGGAAGAAAAAACAGGGGATGATGCAAAGAAGCCAATGTTCACCGTTTTTCGAGAAGCTTTTCCATCCGGTCTTCCCTTTCCAGGCAGGAGTCTGCCTTGCATGGCTGTACCGGCTGATGTCGGTCGACCGCTCCATCACCACCCTCCAAACCAGCCTCCCCGCGCCTGTCCTCGGCTTTCCTCGATTTCCCCCCTTCTGCACGGTCACATTGGTCAATCGTGTTTCAGCTCTGGGACAACGGGCGAAACGCGGTTGTTTGGATGCCATAGACAGTGATGGCGGGTTCAGTACTCAGAAAGGCTTTCGAAGACATGCCTCTCGATGCTGCCCTTTTTTCAATCGAGCCCATGCTTCCACCACGGGCGGTGGCTTCTTGCTCACCTGTTCCAGACCCCCCGCGTGGTCGCCCCTCTCTGAGCCCAAGAGCGAACAGCAAGTCAGTGACACTGCCACGGCACCAACGGTGAGGGAGAATGAGAGAGAGTTCAGCCCCATCTTCAAGAGACAATACTCGTCCGGTGGAACCAAACGTTGTTGCTTTGCTGGGCCATCTGCCACAGATATATATGCTACGGTAGGTCCATTTCCTTCGCTGATGTGCACCTAATTGTCTTTGATCATCTGTGGCAGCATCAGTTCTACCTACGAATCAATATAGAGCAAACTACAGAGGGAGAACGTTGCAGTTATGGAGTGTAGACTGCTGTCCTGGCACGCAAAGTCGAGCACAGCATTCAAGTCGCGATCTCACTTGAGATGGTGAACCTCGTTCCAAGCAGCCATCACCCCACCACCACCGACCGTGGATTGAGAGTAGCTTGCAATGTCGCACGTGTCGCGAGGTTGTTTGTTCTACGTATTTTCTTCTGTTCCGCGTCTTTGGCACAGGTGTGCCGTTGGCTCTCGCTGCTGGTCCACAGACTGCCACTACCGACCGCCGCTCATTTTACCCGCGGAGAGTGCCGGTACTGCTGTTTGAACACACACAAAGCGGTTGGGTGGTACATGGGCCCACCAAATCCCGTCGTAGATTGTTGGCTTGAGTATTACCTAGAATCAACCACCACCTATACGTACGTACATTTTTACACCCCCACAGAAACTCGATACCTCTACAATATGCATACGAACAGACGACAACGTCCTCCAACCGGTAGTCGGAACGTGTTATTACAAGCAACCGTTTCATGTTTTTTCATGTTTTTCTGCGTTGGGATGTCTCTCTCCATGAACTCCTAGAGTACATACCCACACAAGAAATTTGTGTACCAGTCGCATGTCCCCTATAAGAAGGAGGAACGGAGGAACAGGAACGCTGCCGCGGCGGGAACACGAGACAGAGTCATTTTTTGGCCAAGAAGGGAGCGGAGGCAAAAAGGCCCAGCTCGGTTGATTGATCGACATTCCTCGTGCATGTTTACAGGGAATAGCTCAGTAAAGAGCGGTGCGTCGAAGACCGCGTTACCTCCGGCCCCTTCCGTCCCGCCCGCTGCCCACCGCGCTGCTGCTGTCGAAGACATAGACCTAGACGACGGGCTGGACGACAACGAACTGAGTGACGGAGGCAGCGAGACAGCAGCAGCAGTAGGCCAGAAGAACACCATGGGGTCCGTGTACCGAAAGGGCGACGACCACCACCCGGGAGGCGGGAAGAAGATGAGCGAGGTCGCGAACGCGATCGCGTCCTGTACGGCCCTTTCGTTCTTCTCCATCTCCATGATCCTGGCCAACAAGGTGCGGTGTGTACGTGAGCATCATCGTCTATACAGCAGTATTGGCTGGATTGTTCCTTGAGCGGAAAAGCAGGCCTCACACGACCAGTCAGTTTTCAGCACACAACCAAGTCTCGTTCGGTTTTCGCGCAATCCGACGGGCGGAATACACGCATGGCGCTGCCACTGCATAGAGCGGCAAGCCCCCCAAGCATCGCAGTCTGTTGTCTTCATCAGTCCCATCGTTTGCGGGACACGCACATCGCGCACCTCCGTGTTGGGTGTTTTTTATGCACCCAACTGCAGCGGAGAGACAAATCGAGAAAGGGCGCTTTATCCATAATCTGATAATTAGGTGTTTGGTCCAGCAGCAGCGTTTACCAAGGCCAAGCTTGCGGTAAGACCAAGCCACAGGTCCTACGCGGAGGGGACAAAGGCCTGTTGTACACCGCGCCAGCCCGCGCACGGTCTGGTATACTACTAGGCATGCATGCGGGCTGCGATTCTTCCACAGCCCGCGCTCTGCCTGCCTTGCCTTCTGTTTCCTTTTCCAATAAACTGTTTGTTGTTCGTCAATTCCTCCGCAAATTATTTCTTCGATGAGGTCGAGCGCTCGCCGTCCGCTCACAACAAAATATCAGAATATGGTACAGCCTGCATAGCCACAGCTAGCCGTATGCGTAGATATCCCATGAAGGCGATGAACCGCGCCGTCCTGGGGCTTCGGCGGTGCACCCATCGACTTTATCAGAGCCAGCAGCAGCAGCAGCAGCAGCAGCAAGCAGTAACGGGGACTCCTATCCTTCGTTTATCTTTCCTCGAACGGAGCCTCTGAGTCTGAACGCTCGCTCGTGCCAAATAATTTTTACTGGTAGGGGGTGCGCTTCGTGAGCGTGTCTCGTGAGCATTCAGAGATGCTGTTTTTATTGTTTCTCTCACATTAGCTCTATGTAGTCCACAAAAATGGGGAACAGCCCGTGGTCGCAAAACCCGGCACATGTTTGAGTAGTATATGTTTTGGCAAACTGCTGGAGCCGATGCATGCCACCACTACCGCTCTAGCACAGGCGCACTGGTGCCGTATTTTTCTGCCACGTTGTTGTCCCTCCGCTGTTCCGAACCCCGCAATGATGGTGCAGTACAACATGGATACTTCGAAGTTTTGTGCAAATATCCCGGCGAACAATCCACCACGACAACAACCGCCATTTGTAAAACAAACACCGCTGGTTGGTGAGTTGCATGTACAGCAGTATGTACTGCTGTTGGAGTACGGTCCGCATTTTACGTACACTGCTCATCCCGGTGGCTTTGATGCTGCTCAGAGCATGGCAGAAACACACGCTACTACAAGAGGAGGAGTATGCCACTACTGCTGTATGAATCCACTGCTGTTCCATGTTTCCCGAGTCTTTATCTGTGGATACACAGAGATGAAGAAATTGGTTGGTTTTTATCCTGATGTGAAAGGGTTGTTGGAATCTTGGAAGGGCCTAACCCCCCGGTGTTTTTGTGCGCGGAAAGAAGAGGCTTTTTTTCTCACGACGGTACTCTCATGCTGCCGTAGTACAACATAGCTGCTGTAGCTGCTGTACGCCCGGCCGGCAGTAGCACTAGATTCGTCATGTTGCATCTTTCCGTGTACCTTACAGCAGCAGTGTAGTTGAAGGGCTGTGGGAACTTTTCAAGTCTTCATCTTTGACAGACAACAGGCTTTGAGCAGGCACGAATGTTCATTTTCACCCATCTGCGTACGGTATGCATACAGCTGCCAGCGTAGTCTATTTAGCTGTTGCAACCATCGTTGTACCTATCCTTACGCATGTACACAAGCTTATGTTCCGTATTCTCTGTTGGCGTCATCCGGTCCGTCCCCAACAACGTCTATGCACCATCATCCGTGTGTGAGGAGCGTTTATGGGCCAATGTTTGTCCCGCGCACACACAAATCCTGTGAAAACAACACCGCAGTTGGCGCCCGCACTTCTGTTTTTTTGGCCGGAGGTTCGATGCTTACTGTCTGCCTCAAAATGAGCAGCTGTTCTTACTTCGAGCATGCATCCCGCGTGAAGATAATAAACGGGGTTATTTTCTTAATTCTACGCTGAAGGCCCCATGCAGAGGACACCGGGAGTTTTTCTCGATGGATTCAACCTACTGAGGGCAGCATGTTCATAAAAAACAGTTGTCTGTGGAGAAAAACCGTCGTTCAACAGTTACCTCTGGATCCAACGCACCGCAGATTCAGCGATCACCACAGCAGTAGGTTAGGAATACAGACACGGCAGTATCCGTTTGTGTGTCTACTCGGCAGGATACACATGTATCGGAGATCTCCGGGGGGTACCCAGATATTTTATGATGGGTGTGATGGACTTGACCCGCTGCGCTGCTTGCTGCTTGCTGCTTGCTGCTTGCCTGCCCGTGTTTTTCACTCGTTGATACGCAAGGACCTTGAGTCACTTCTTTGTGCAGAAACGCTCTCGGCAAGAGCCCGCGAGCGTGATAAACGCAGTATGTACACGCGCCGACACCCCAAACACGATTTCTGCTCAAAGGAGTGCTTCAAGTTCCTTCCTTGTACTTATGAGTGAGAGACATGCGCAGGCAAGCACAGCCTAGCGCGTCAAAAGTCCATCACACCCATCATATATATATATATATCTGCGTACCCCCCGGAGATCTCCTGTCACCGAGATGTGTATCCTGCCGAGTACATACACAAACAGGCAGTATCGCCCCAAATATTGACGCATAATGAGCAACATTGAACCTTTTTGTGGTCCACAAGGGTCACGTCACGCTCGGCGTGTACTTTGATTACCTCGAAGTGTCGATCAAGAATGACACCTCTTACTTCAATATTGACAGTTGGTCGAGCTCCTTCAATATCTCAATGTTTCGCTGGCGTGGCGCGCACCGCACGCGATGTCACACGACGAAGGGTAAGGGTACGCCGTATTTATACAACAAAGCCAAGCACCTACCCCCCCCCCCCCCTCCACGCCAGTATTTTTTCAAAGGGGGACCCCCCTCCTCACCCCTGATCTGAAACTGTCGGTGGGGTCACCGGTCACCCCGCGAGTAGCTCCTCACTCCTTC